TTTCCCTACCCCTACTGTCTTCCTTAGACTAGGGTTGATCAGCTGTATTTTAACTTCTGGTGTACGTGTGTCTCTTTCACAGTAACTCATGGTTGGAAGTTTCTGTAGGTGCTTCCAGACTGATCTATGAATTAGTAATCTGGGATAGATTATCTATGGTATATTTTTGCTTCATTTTGCTGTACATTAATCTGTTCTTTGGATTAATTGTGTCAGAATACAAGTGCCAGGAGCAATACTGTGGGTAATCCAGTCAAAAGCAGTTTAACTTCTGCAAATATGCTTGCTGTGACTATAAGACTACATGGGTTGGGAATAAGGAAATGCTTTTTCTCGTTAAGAAAATCTCTGGAATGTCTTTCAACAGAAAAAATTCCTTGTGCTTTTATCAAAGTGATGGGTTTTTTTTTTTAATTCCGTTGGCATGATTGGCTTGTTTTTACCCAAAGTCTTGAATATACTACTTACGTAATGAAAATTGTGTTGCATAAAAGTAGCTTTGTCACAGAATTTGGATTACTTCACTCTTAGAACACGTTGTCCAAGCTTATAGTAGCTAGTAATGTAAAAGAAATAACTAATACAGACAGAATTAATTTATTTGGTCATAGAAGTTTGGAATGGGTAGTTGACCATGTTTTGAAGGAAATACCTCAGATAGAATTTTGAGAGCTCAACTTTGTACAAAAGATTTCTTTCCTTGAAACTATCATGTCTATGATTTTAGATTCATTTTATATGATATTTGAAGTTCAGGTGTATTTTAAAGGATAAATCCTAACTTGCTAAAGTAAGCATTTATTTGTAGAGTTTACAACTTGGAGCTCTTTTGAATAGTCGTGGTTCTGATCCTATTAAATGTTTTCTAGTTCATACCTCTGCGATGTGACCCTGAAATCTTTAGATGGAAAGGAATTCCCGTGTCATAAGTGTGTACTTTGTGCAAGACTTGGTATGTGTGTGTATTTATATATACATATAAAATATAAGTCATATTATCTTTTTTTTAATCTTTTATTGCATCTTGAACTGAAATGCCTTTCTTTACAGATTATTTTCACAGCATGTTAAGCAGCTCATGGATTGAGGTAAGCTTGCCAATAAATGTGTGGTGGTATGTTTTAATGCGTCAAAGAAATATCAGGTTTTCAGTTTTTCCTAGAATAACGTATCTTAAATACTAGGCAAAAGTAAAGGCTGGATTCTTGGATCCTTTTCTCAAGAAAAAAAAAAACACCTCCCACACTTCACATTTGTACTATTGAGATTGTGTATTAAATGAGAGTAAGAAATGTGATAATGTATGTCAAAGGAAATTAAAGTATTACTTTTGTTTTAGAGGTTTATTTTGAGCTAGTTCATGGTTTTGTAAAAGCTGCTGGACTATTCTTTTGGGGTACTGTTTTGGATGAATTTTCGTTTTCTTTCTGTATAAGATCTTGCAATTTACATAGTAAGCAGTTTGGAATAGCTTTTCTTATGGACTGAGTAAAAGATACAGCAGAATCAAGAGTCAGTCTGTAGCATCTCTAGTTGACTTTTACTGTGATATCAAGGAGATATCAAGGACGATTCCACTTAGTCACCAGCTGCTACTTCAAAAGGTGTAGATCTTTTCTTGATTCCTATTTGCCAGCTCTGTGTCAGTGCCCTGCTTGTTCCTGGATATCATAATTTCACTAAACACCTCTATTTAAGTATCTGAATACTGTTGATAATGCTTGTTGAAAGAGAGGAAAAGTGTAAATGGAAAAGCATTTTTCAGAGATTGATAGCTGAAGCACCTGAAGAGTTTTCTCAAAGTCCATAGCTTTTTTCGGCAATATGCAAATCTAAGAACATGGCAGAGTGCTAGCAGTTCTCTTCCACTGCATTACAGATCCTCACCTGTCCTCTAACTTACTCTGCTGCCTTTTCTTCATCCCTGAGGAAAAATATAGCGGAAACACGCGATTGGTTTGGGGTTTTTTTGCATGTGTGCTGAATGTCCATTTGTATCAATTTGTATCAATTGTTTGTAGTTTGTAAGTTATCTATTATTTTAAAGTAAATCTAAATCATAGTAAATTAGCAAGTAAATTTTTGAGAATTAAGTGCTCTGCATGTTGCATAAGGACCTTATTGTCTCTTAAGAGGTTTTTAAACCTCAGATGAGAAATATATCAGTACCAGTAGCATGTTCTAAAGCAAAAGAAATCTTTTAGTAGAAAGCTTTGCTTCAGTACTGCCTGAAATAAAACAAAATTCTTGAGCAGTGATGTGGCATAAACTTGAATGGTAACGATTTCATGGTTTGATGGTTAATGGTTTTTTTCATGCAAAAGCTTTGCTTTAGTGATTAAGATGATTCTTCAAATGGAGGGTTTGCTGAGGACCTTGGTTTTTTTAAGGATTAACAGTAATGGCTACTTGCATTTTATTCCTGTGTGGGAGTTTGTGATGTCACTACATCTTTTACCTTGGAAGGAAAGCAGTTCAGTATGTGCACAAAGGATTACTGTAGCTCTACTTTTAGACAGTCATATTAAGGTAATATAATCAAGGAGAATTGCTGGAGAAGATGCTCAGACTCACGAAGCATTGAACTCTTGTGGATATTTATTCAGAAGTTTGGGAAGATTTTAGTTGTTCTGCTGCAGTCAGTTTGTAATTGAAGAACTTTGTGCAAATGGTCAAATAATTTTTTAACTTCCAAAAAGACCCTCAGTCTGAGTCATTTGCTGAATTTAATTGCTGGCTTAGTTTTATTCCAAGTAGTCAACTTCTTTTACGCTGTTTTGGTTTTGTTTATTTTTTTTTAATCCTTTTACCTTTTAGGCTTCCTGTTGTTCAGCTCTGGAAATGCCAATCCATTCTGACATACTGCAAATAATTGTGGATTACCTGTATACAGATGAAGCTCTTGCAATAAAAGGTGCTGTTAATATATTTTCAACTCAGCTGTATAACTCCTGTACTTTCATGTGTTTAAAATAGAAATTCAATACTTCATATTGCATTAAAAGTTATGTAGAAATTCTAAATTTTTGTGAGAGTTGCTTTAGATTTTGATATATTAGCTGTATCCCAGGTGTTTTCGTACCTTTCCTTTAGTTTGTCAAACTGTAGTTTTGCTTTACCTTCTGTCTCTTACTTCAAAAAATGTCTTATTTCTGCTCTTCTAAGCTATTCCTTATGCTGTGAACATCCCATCAGAATTTGCAAAGCCATTATGTTTTTCCTTTGTAAACTCTCATTGAAGCGGTATGTTTTACAGTTGTTTTGAATTTGTCCACAGCAGCTATGTGATGCTTTGTTTTCCAGATTCTCAAAATGTGGAATTCATATGTAATGTTCTTGTGGTAGCAGACCAGCTTCTTATATCCAGGCTCAAAGAAATCTGTGAAGTAGCCATTGCAGAAAAACGTGAGTTCTTCTACTTGTATTATAAAGGGTTAGAGACTACAGAAGGTTTTTTTAGATGTTAATGTTCTTAGCTATTTGAACACAGAATTATGGTTATGTTCCTTTGCTCTGATTACCTTTTGCTGTTACTGCATAGCTCTTAACAGTTGCTTCTTTAGTCTGGGTGATGTTCCAGGTTAACATAATCTTCCATTCCTTATTCATCATTGTCTTCATCTCATGCTCTGTAATAAAAAATAAAAAGAAAGTAAGGAACAAAAAAGTAAGAAAAAATCCCAGCGCTGAAACTGCTACAAATAAATTACACTTTATAAAACCTTTTATTCATTGAATTCAAACCTGTTGCCTATAAAACATGATAAAATAAACTCTGTGTTTCTACTTCTGCCCTTATATTTGGTTCTACTAGTTCCTCTATTTGTTTGCCACAGTGCTGTTTCTATATGGCTCTGAAGATCTGTCTCTCCTAGACAACACTGAGTGTTGTATCTCAGCTTGGTGGAAGTTAGCATACAGTTTTTGCTTGGCATTTCTTAATGGCTTCCATTTTTGTATTTCCTTTTCCCTGCTAAAGAAACATCTGTAGCTTTAAGAACTGCTTTTGCTGTATATGAAACTTAATGTTTTTAACTTTCTTTTCTCCCTTTATTTTGGCCTGCTGATTTTCAATATATTGAAAATATAGGCAGGGCCTTTATATTCCTGTGAAACAGCCACTGCACTCGAGCTGCTGCAAAGTTATATGGCACTTGCTGGGGTTTGTAGCCCTCTGAGCATTAGTGTTTCTTCTAGGAATGGAGAAGTATTTGATATGTTTCAATAACTAGATCATGCTGTGCACGAAGTCTTAAAAACTGCTGCGTGACTTTGCAGCATATTATCCAATTTAGTTTGTTGCATTTCTTCTTTGCAGTTACTTTAAAGAATGCTGCCGAGCTGTTGGAATTCTCAGCAATGTATAATGCTGAACAGTTAAAATTGTCCTGCTTACAGTTCATAGGACTCAATATGGCAGCTTTGCTTGAAGCAAGGTAAGGAGGAATGCAGATGTGTTTGTGTTCTGGCCATTAAATTCCAACATCCAAAAAGGTTGAAAGAACTAAGAGGAGCAGTTTAATATTTAAGTGTAACTGGATGCTACTAGGCTCATTTCTGCCAAACAGGGAGAGGCAAGCTGGTTAAGTATCTGTACGCACTGCGCCAGTTCTGCAGTACAGAACTGTGTGTTACAATCCAGCCTGAAGAGCCTGAATGAAGGGGGGGAAAAAGTCTCTTGAATTCAGTGAGCTTAGGCTTAATCTGGTTCAGGTGTTTTAATTTGATTTTGAAGATACATAAAATGGCTCTGATTTCTTTGATGTTTTTATGTATTTTTTTTTAACATGATGGCTACTATGCAAGCTGAATTTATAGCTGTTGGATTTTCCAGAGAGGATGGGCCTGCCTTATGGTAGTGTCTTTGCTTTAACTGAACCAATTAACTCATTACCCTTGCTTTCCACAATGATTTGGCTAGGGTTCTAAGAAGTTGAAGAAGTGCTCTGGCCTTCCTTCTCTTGATGCTTTTGGACAGAGCTTCAGGCTCCTTCCAGAGTATGTATCATCTCAGAGCAAGCCTTTTCAGAACGGATTAAACTTTTTTCCCTAGCAAAAAAAAAAAAAAAAAAAGGGCAAAACCAAAAAGAATGAAAAACCCAACAACAACAAAACTATGAACAACCAAAAAGGAAAATTTTTAAAAAACCCGACCAAGCAAAAATCCCCATCTCTATTACTGGTCCACTTTGTCTGCTCCTAGCCTTGTTGTCGTGCTTCCTTTTACCGACAGAAGTTGTTAGAGATATGAACTGATTCAGAATGCCAGCAATTCATTACTGTGTCACGCAACTGCTGTGCTTGTATCAGAGATACAGGCATTCATTCATATTAGCAATTTTCCTCTTCACATCCTTTGTAAAGTATAAACTTTTTAACTTTTAGTTTTGGAGGGAAGAGTAAAAACCTAATAACGTTGTCTTAAGTGTTATTCTAAATTCAGACTTGTTTCATCTTAAGCCTGAAAAGGACATGCAACATTCTTGCTACAATTAAAACTGTATCTACATTTTAATGAAGATCTGAAAATGTCATTACTGCATAGCAAGATGTTTAATCTGAGAAACTGGAGGCAGAATTTAGTCATGTCATCTTTGTGCTTCTCATGTGGGCAAGACAGTTCTGTTGACTAGTTTGTTGCTGTAACATTTTTGGTTTTGCATAAATGTTAAGTGATATTGGGGCTGAGTTTTATAGAAGAATTTGCATAGACATGGAGTATTAGATAGATATTAGGAAGGCTTGAAAGTATGCAGAGACAGGTCAAGTAATGATCCCTTCATGGTAACTATATAGTCTATATTGGTTGTGGCCTTAAGTAAAGGTAGACTATTGGAAAAGGTTTTCAGTTTAATTCTCTCTTACAGCATTGACTAGTTTATAATTTGTTTTCATTTTCTTTCTTCTGACTATGTGACCACCATGAATAGGTATTCATGCCTGTAGGTGAGATTCATCTAAACCACTCATTTGAATTTTTCCTTAATGTCTTTTTTTTTTAACTGATAATTTTGTATTTATGTTTTTCTTTAGGACTCTGGATGTCTTAAGCGATGAAGTTGTAAAGGATCTTTCTGTTTATTACAGGAAAATGGTGAGTTGTACAACTTGAGTGTAAGCTAATTTGGTTTAAAATGAGAACAGATTATTAACAGAATCATAGAATCACAAAATGATTTTGGTTGGAAGGAATCTTAAAGATCATCTAGTTCCAACCTCCCTGCCGTGAGCAGGCACACCTTCTACTAGACCAGAAAAAGCCCCATCCAGCCTGACCTTGAACCCTTTGAGGAAGGGGGCATCCACAGCTTCTCCGGACACCCTGTTCCAGTGCCTCACCGTACTTGCAGGAAAGAATTTCTTCCTAATATCTAGTCTAGATCTACCCTCGATTTCAGTTCGAAACCATTACCCCTCATCCTATCATTGTACTCCCTGATAAAAAGTCCCTCCCCAGCTTTCATGTAGCCCCCTTCAGGCACTGGAAGGCTGCTATAAGGTCTCCCTGGAGCCTTCTCTTCTCCAGGCTGAACAGCCCCAACTCTCTCAGCCTCTCCTAATAGGAGAGGTGCTTCTGCCCCCTGGTTGTCTTTGTGGCCTCCTCTGAACTTGCTTCAATAGTTCTCTGTCACTCTTGTGTTGGGAACTCCAGAGCTGGACACAGTATTGCAGATGGGATCTTGCCAGAACAGAGCAGAGGGAAAGAATCACCTCTGTCGACCTGCTAGCCACACTTCCTTTGATGCAGCCCAGGATGTGATTGATTTTTTTGGCTTTTTTTGGTGCACATTGCTGGCTCAAGTTCATTTTTTTTAAATCCACCAACACCCCCAAGTCCTTCTTTGCAGGGCTGTTCTCAGTCCACTCATCACCCAGGCTGTATTTAGGATTGCCCCTACCTGGGTGCAGGACCTTGCACTTGGATAATTATGTAATAAATACTTCTGTTACATTGTATTAATTTATGTAATAAATGCAATTGTTTTATTTAATAAATACATTTATCACATAATATCACTTAATAAATACATACCTGTAGTTGACAGACTGAATGTGGCACATCTGACTCAAAAGCTAATATAGCTGCTTCTGTTACCACTGTCATGGAACTCATTTCATTTTTCACTAGCCACTGCTGCAGCAGTATTTTGTCCTTTAAATAGTTATCTACATTGAACTTACTAATGTTCTGTAATTAACAATTGTTCTTCAGTGTAAAGTTCAGGATGATCATATAGATCTTAAAATCAGGAATAAAAATAATATGGAAGGAGGACTTTAATGGAAAGGGAAAACCAAGGCATGTTGTAATCCATTATTCTTTAATTGTACAGTAGTTAAAGGTGAATGTTTGCAAACCCTTGCAGTCAGGACTTACAGTCAGCTGAAACAAAAGCATTCTGAGTCTGTCACTTAAAATAATTCTCTTTCTGTTTTGTTTAAAGATGAAGACTTGAGTTTATAAGCTGGTCAATTACTTCATCTGTAAAAGTGTTTTAAGTGACAGTTGGGGTTTGTCCTTTTACAAGAGATCGTATTTTTGCTAACATACCATTAAGAGAAAAAAGAAACTTAGTGTAATGGCTTTTACAACTACAGATTCCAGCTATGGTCAGGAGAGTAATTACTCCATATCTAGACGGACCTGATATAAGTTCTTTTGAGCCTGAAGATGGAGAGAACTTTGTCTTTTTAAGGGAAGAAATGAATGCAGAACACAATTCTCAGTAAGTATTTTTCATCAACGTTTTTAACTAGGCAAGTTGTATGTTCTGTTTATCCCCCTTTGGTGTCTGGCTCCCTTTGGGTTCAGAAACTAGTAGGAGAAACAGAGATTTTCAAGACAATTCTCTGTTCCCTTAAATATTTAAAGATGTTGCAGAACTGCAGTGAAACACTTTCTTAACTTTATGAGTAGCACATGAGTAAAGGTAGCAAAAAAGGCACTCTTAGTAATGTTTGAGAGTTGCGTGTGTGGTGAGAGTATCTGTATGTACAAGACCAACTGTGAAGTTCGTTGAACTTTGCTGAATTAGGAGAAATCAAAAGAGAAAAACCCAGACTTTAATGTGCCTAATAGATGTGTCTGGAAAATTGTGATGATCTGTACTTCTTAACAGAATTGTCATGCAAAATGCTGAATTCTGTAGAATGAGTTTTTAATCTATCAGTTTGCAGTGGCTTCTGTCTGGCTTTAGAATAACAAAACAAGAAAACTCTGCTTAAGAGGTGTTGGAAAACCTGATCCAAACAACTGCTGATCAGGTAGTTTGGCCTTGGAGGTTTTGTGAACTTCTGGTGTGGTGTGCTGTCTTGCAACATTTGACGTGGACATGATAGCAACAGAATCCATAAAGTCTTGTCAGACTAACTTAATGTGCTGCAGTTGGTGCCGTTTTTAAACTGGAGAAATTGACTATGACAGCACAATGATGAAAAGTTTATTTGATAGAGTGACTTGGTACTGTGCTTCCAAATAGTGAGGTATCATGTCACTGTGCAGATGAGCTCTCACCTGCGGTATTGCGTCCTGTTCTGACAACTTCTGTCAAGAAAAGTTACGGTAAATGAACGAGTAAAGATAAAGACTGGTAGATCAAGGGAACTGAGAAGCTATTTTGTATTAGACTTTAAGACTTTCAATATTTTTAAAGGCTAGTTGATAGCTTTTAGGGAATAGGGCAGTCCAAGGATTAAAAAAACCCAAACAGCATTGTAAAGTTGCAGTATCAATGAAGGAATGAATAAATATGTATATAGTTATTCCACAAAAAGCTTCTGAAAGAAGCTTTTTGAAACAGGGTTGCTGTAGCTGTGATTCGTGTAATTCTGAATTTCTAGTAGTTTTGTTAAAACGAGAGATGCCTTTTGTTTCATTCCACTCTTAATATCATCTATTGGAATATGTGATGTTTTGGTAATATGAACATATAATTTCTTTATTGTATAAACAGTATTACCTGCATTGGGGAAAAATAAGACCAACTTCACTAATTTAGAAGAAATCAAGAGAGAAAAAAATGGAGACTTGGATGTAGTTTGCTTCACGTCAGTTGCTGCAATGTTCAGCAGTTTTTTGACCTAGGTGGCAGTGCCAGCCCATGCAGCTGCTCTGTCCTGCACGGTCTCAGCAGAAGTCTGACCAGAGACTAGATCTAGATTGGAAAGAACTTTTTTTCTTCCACCAAAATAGTTTACTAAATAGTTGTGCCAGTGTATAAGCAGAGCAGGAACAAGCAGGTAGTGACAGCTGGTGGGACCAGGTATTAATACTTGAAGTATAACCACTGTGCTGATTCAAAAATGTGGCATTGACACTGAGTTCTGAGGCTCAATTTCTTTGGGTTTAATCCATCTTGAGTGGGGTTTTTTTGTTGTTGTTTTCAATAGGGAAGCACTTTTCAAAAGAGCAAAAACAAAAGCAAAAAAGAAGCCACGAAAACGGTCCGACAGCTCTGGAGGATATAATCTATCAGATATTATTCAAAGTCCAGCCTCTACAGGTCAGTGGGAAAGAGGTTCCTTTCATGTATAAAAACAGAACATAAAATTTAATATGCAAGGCAATGCAATTTCTGTACTTCACTACGGAAATCTTGTAAAGATAATTTCTTTTCTAGTGAACACCATAGTTGAATTTGAATAGTGAAATCTTGTTTTGCTTGAAAGGACTTCTGTTGTATTAAACCTGTGCCCCAAGTTCAGTTTCTGTAAAAGCATGTATTTTATCAGATAAAGATAGTGGACACTTTTCCCATGTAGTTAGAAGTGGAACATCTCTGCCAATATGTTTTGTTTTACTTTCTGGAACATAGTCACTGTTTATTGAAAAGGTGATAGAAGCCTTCATTTTCAACAGAAAAGTGTCAGTGTTGCTTCCTAAAACTATATCGTGGGAGTAATTTTAGTCTGAAAAAATATTTAAGATGGTTTTAAGTTTGCTTATACATATTACAGTCTGGTATAGAGGACTAAGTAAACTTCTGGTTATTTAATGTTCATCATATGGACTGAATAATTTTGAGTGTTTTGAGCATTGTTTATCTGGCTCTCATGATTTAATAGTCCTACTCTCTTTTCTTATTTCTTAGGCTCAGTAAAACTGGATAAAACTAACTCTGTAGAATCACTTCCAGAACTCTTAACATCTGACTCTGAAGGTAGTTACGCAGGAGTGGGTAGCCCCAGAGACTTGCAGTCCCCTGACTTCACAAAAGGGTTTCATCCAGAGAAGACTGAGGTTGGATTTCTTTGTTCCCAGTGATTTGAGTTTGTGGTTTTCTAGTCCATCAAAAGCAGAGTTTGTTATTTTGAGGTGCTTCTGAGAAGCTGTTGTAGACAGCTGGGGTAGACAAAGTTCAGTAGATATTGTTTATCTGATAGATAAAAATTAGTATTACTTACTAAATCTTCTAAGGGGAATTTATTCACCTGATACCATGATAAGAAGTTTTATATGCTATAGTGTTCAGAAAATTTTGAACCAAAAGAGCAACTATGTAAAGTCTTTAGCTGCTTCATTTAAAATGCAAAGCAAACGTGAAGTTCAGAAGCCAGAAAAAGAAGCCAAAAAACTTCAGGAAAATCCTGCTGTCTTCAACTACTGTAGTTGGACAGAAGTACGGTTCAGGATAACTGATCCACAACTGGCAAAGAGAAATAAGTTTAAGAGAATTGTGCTGATGTTAAGTGTTAAAGCTTTAGAAGCGAACATCTCCAAGTGAATTTTCCACTCAGGGTGAAGTACGTGTCATTCAAGAAGTTGGAGCATCGCTTTTTGTAGCTATATGAAAAAAATGCGAGAATATTAACTCAACATTTTTCTGTCTTGTTTTAGATGAAGGACAGGGCGTGCACTCAGGGTATGAAACCCTGTCAACCTAACAAGGAGATGAAATCATACAAGGGATCATCAGCATTGATGCAGTCTATTCCACGATCCATTCCCAGTGCCAAAACCAACTCTGCAAGCTCTGCTAACTGGGTAGCAACCAGTTTCAGGTAGAGTAATAGTTATGGTGCCTACATAACTTATAATCACTTAGTAGTGAATGCTAATAGTGTCTTATTCAGACTATCTGCTCTTCAAAGTGATCATCTATTACTGGACACGTGGATTAAAGATTTTGTTAGTTTTATTAACTGGTACATTTTTTTTAATTATTCTTTGGGAAAAGCAATCACTAGATACATTTTTATGTTTTTTTCCTTTTTTTAAAGTGCTACTGGTCTGGACTTCTAATAACATTTTTTAGAAGGCCTGCTTGGTTAACACTTTGTAAAATATTTGGCAGTTTTTTGATGACTCAGACCATGCTTGAAGCCATTAGAGGCATCATTTTACTTTGATATTTTTAGGGCGTACTTTTAGTCTTAAATGGTCTGTGAAAATCAACACCATAGTTTTAGCTCATGTAGTAATTAAAAATTGATTATTTTTTTATCTGTAGAAGTATCTGCATATGAAAAAGAAGCAGTACTGTGATAGACTGAAATTCTGTCTTGCCTGATATCCTGTCTCTTGACAGTCATCAATAAAGGTTGAACAGAGAAGAGTTTAAGGATTCACGGAATCATATAGTGATAATTTCCTACAGTTTTCTCGAGCTCTGTTGTTTTGTGGCTGATGGGCTTTGTTAATGCAGATGATAGAGCTATAGAAAATAAAAGTTGCATCTCTGAAGTGCATAATTTGTTGAGTGTGGCCTATTAGCAATCTGTGTTTTGTCTCACTATGTATTTGTGCAAGCCTCGTCTATGCAGCGAGGGCAACACGTCACACAATGAAGTCTTTGGTCTGTAGATTGATTGGAAGAAGCTCCACCTGCACCTGCTGTCTTGGAGTTCTTTTTGAATGCTTTTTTAGTGGATTGCGTGGAAGGGGATCAAATAAAACCACAGGACTTTGTTGTAATATCACCGTGCCTTTATGGGTTTTTCTTGCACCTCTTTCTTCACTTTTTCCAGCACTGCTGTTACGACGTCAAGGAAAAACAGACAGCGCTGTTTTTGTGCAAAATTCGTAAAGGACTAATGCTGTAGTGTATCTGTTTGAACTGCCATGGGGGAACAGTGAGGACAGGGTTTGGTGTGAGCTCCTGGTCGTTAATTTGGATTTATGGAGGGAGAGAGAGAGGGAACACTGCTTAGATTTCAAAGCCTGTCCTTGAATGTAGTTGTAACACAGCTTAGTTTACAAACACCTATCAGTACACAGGTTTTAATTTATAGATCTGCATAAAGCTTGGAAATGTCTGGATTTAATTCATGTTCACTTCTGAGGAAGTTTAAAATTAGGTCATTTGTGAAACAGAAACTGATTCGTAAAGCTTGAGAATGTTACTGGTGTTTGTACAGTAACAGAACTGTCACCCTGTTCTTCAGAGGAAAGTCTAATGCAGACTTCATGAAAGACCTGTGAGCAATGCCTCTCTCAATCTCAACATGAGCAGTTGACTACTAAATAAGTATCCTGGATTTAGGTATCTAATTTTTTTAGAGTAATCATAGTTCACATCTTTTTGTTTCATAGTATAATGAGTCTTTAAAGTATTTTTGTAGTGTGTTCTTAAATATGTATATATTTATAAAAGTTTTGTCAGAAACATTCTATTTGAGGTTTGCCATAATTGAGGAAACAAACATAAATTATACATCCGGTTACCAGTCTTATGTATGATTTAGAGGATTTCAGTGAAGGCTGGAACTGTGGAATGTAAGTAAAAATGAATGCCTTCTATGGTAACTTTTTATTTTTCATTTAGCCCTGCCAGCCCTCCTGCTATGGATCTAAGAACCATCATGGAAATTGAAGAAAGTATGCAGAAATGTGGAACCATGCCAAAAGCAAATTCAGGGTTGGTAAAAAACCAAAATCTATAAAAGAAAAGTGTGATAGACCAGGCTATTATGGCTGTTCAGAATTTAAAAAAAAAAAACAACAAAACCCCAGGAGAAAATATGTCCTATTGGGTTTTGATCAGCTTTGTTTACTTCAGTTTATTATGGTGTTTTTCTGTGAGCATACAAAATTTATCCATTTATTTTACTGTAGTCTTGTTGGTCAGCTTCTGCAAAAACATGTCTTAAAACGGTGGCCTGATCTTCTGAGCTTTTGTATTTCCAATGAAAAACAATTAGTTCTTCCCTCTAGCCTTTGGAAATTACTTGTGAACTAGTACTGTGATTGATCCCAAACTTTGTTTCTTCTCTCACATTCTCTGACCTCTCCCAGCACCCATGTGTTGATATTGACAATTCTTCCTCAGACAGAAGCAAGGGTGTTTCTTTCTCAGAGAAGCATCCTAAAAGACACAGAAGGATGAGTGTCCTTTTTCAGTGGGTTAAACCTAATGTTTCTTAACTGGTGACATATTGAAGAAGATTGAGGATGACTTTCCTGACCTTTGAAGTGTGGCATTTTTGTAAAGGAGAGCTAGGACGGTAGTCTTGGAGCCTAGTAAAGATCTCCTGGGTAGGTAGATTCAGCAGCTGTGAACAAAAGAGCCAAGACTGAGGATTCCAAATTTAGCAAATTATTACAAGTAGAAAAAATGGCTGTATGCTGTTGTATATATATTTTTTTATGGGTGAATATTTTTGCTTTAAGGGAGCTTAACTTTTGACAGTCTCTAAAAAGTCACAAAAATAAGAAAATAATATGATGGTCCATCTCTTTTGGAGACTTATATTGTGCTCGACATTTTTTCATTTGTAGACATCTGCATGAAGAATAGTTTTATGACACTTTTCTTTCTATCACTCTAGATACTCATTGACCCTCCTTTTGCTCCCCAGCCATCCAACTCCCTTCCTCCCACCTATACTCCCCTTTTGGCACTGTAGACAAGAGTATTTTGATCTAGGAAAGAAGTATTTCTCAGTTTAATTTGCAAGATTAAAGGTGAGTCATCTCAAAGGACACTAATCTTACATCTTTGCAATATCAATTCACAGCAGAATGGTGTCTCATGGAGTCAAGCTTTCTCAGAAGCAAAGGAAGATGATTGCCCTGGCAGCAAGAGATAATGGATCAGTAACTAGCAGCACAGAGCCTGCTTCACTCATAACTACACCACCTCCACCTACGAAAGTTGCAAAACTAGGGAATGCATGGTATGTTAAAAATCAGGTATCACTTCTGTTTCTTTGGAGGGTTTTTACGTTGAGTAGTCTCTTAAAAGCGGTTTCTTAAATAAAAATAGCTTAGGTTCTGTCTGTGAAAAAGACTAGCATTAGACTGTTTGTATCTACATTTGGTAGTAATCTGGAAATTCAAAGGGGGCAGGGAAATGCGGTAGTTGCATCTTAACAGTTCTTTGAGATTTTGCTGTAGTGAGTCAGAAGACAGCATCCCATCTGGTTCCTGCCTGTGTGTGATGTGGTACTTGCAGATGGTATCAAAATGAGGCATAGAAAAAGAAGGTTGAGCACAAGCTCTGAAACTTAGTCAGGAAGAGGCTGTTGAAAACTGATACAAAAGCTATTTTTTTTTCTGTTATCAAAAACCAAAAACTGCACTAATCCTTCCTGGGGAAAAGGGCTAGAATGACTTTGGAGTAAAGCAAAAGATAACTGAGTTATCTAGCTGTCTAGGAGCTGCAGGGAGTGACACATACTGCTAAGAATTCTTATGGTGGAAGGATGCATAATGGGTTTAAAATTACTTTTAATGGTGCTTACACACAATTTAAGTGTTCAAGATAATAGCACTGTAATGAATAGAAAAATGATTTATCATCTGTTCAATGAACTAGATTTACGACAAGGAATGTAATGAGGCGCTAGCTCGATTCGTGCTTTGTTCTTCATATTTGCAGTTGGTGTTGTGTGAAAGGGTAAAGGCATAACTGTAAAAGTTACAAACTGTGTAAACTTAAAGTATTTAAAGAATAAATACCTGTGTGCATGCTCTTAACTTGAGGTAAATGTTGGGCAGTTTTCCTCCTTTCCCTGTTCACGAAGGTCTAGATTTTTATTGCAGCTTGCTTCTGTGCTGGTAGCCTAGAAGAACTGTGAGTCAGTCTTCTCTCTCTAGAGCTTGTCTGTTTGTGCCTCAGGGGGAGCAAAGCTTGCTGCATTACCCACCGCAGTCACTCGTGTTTTAAATGAATTCTTTGTTAGACAATTTAGCTGTTTTAAATGCTATTGCAGTAGTTTTCCTTTTGTAGAGATTTCAAAGTAAAATAGGAGTCTGTCTGTCAAAGGATAGCTTTATTTTCACAGACACATCTCCCTCTTGTATTTTCCAGCAATTTTTCCTTTGATCCTTTATATGAATTGGTTATTCCTTTTAGAAATAGTAGTAGTAAGCATCTATTGGAATCTTTGCCTTTCTGCTGTGCTCTTGTGAGTTCAGAACAGACATGTACATACCCTGTTAGCTACATGAGTATATATGGAGAAAAAAAAATCACGTCACTAACTGCCTGCACAAAAAGTAGGCAGCATTCTGCAGTAGTTGCTTCCCGAGAGGTGTTCTCTGTCAAAGGTTTTAGGTTAATAACTAGATCTGCTTGTTTCTCTGCTCCATTTCCTTGTATCTGTTAACTTGGCTGTATTTTTGGGATGGATGCTATTATGATCAGCACCTTGAGTTTGAAGTGTCTTTAGATTTATTGAGATTCCACAGAGATAGTATGCTATTATCTTAATTTAAGACTACAGTAATATACCAGAACATAACAGTAGTATAATAGAGCTGATGTTCCAAGTATTTGTCAGTAACGTCTGGGAAAAATTGCAAGAGTGTGTTCTAATCATTGCAAAGTCATGTGTTGTAAATCAGGTGATGATTGATTCTAAATCAATATTCTACTTCCAGCTGTGACACCAGAACAAGCTTTACTTCTCAAGTGGACACCATGCAGTGCATTCAGCCATATTGTTAAAGGCTTTAGGATTTTACAGGGCCTGTCAAGGATCCTGTCAGTCTGATCCGAAATGGGAAGTTGTTTGGTGAATTAAAGGTTATGTGGCAAGATGTGTCCTTCAAGTAGTGTTTCTGACAGTGATGTCCAGGATTTCTCCAATGGTCAGTGAAAGTAGGGACAAGAAATTTTCTTTGTAGGCATCTGTATATCATGGGTTAATTATAACTAAAAAAAAAAAATTGGTTATATACCATGTATTTCTGGTGTCCCACTTACAAGTTAAAGAGTTATAGTGTCACTACAGTAGTTATTTGCGAAAATGAACTGCCTAAGATAATCTGGGTTTAAAAATATCCAGGACCCAATATTTCAAGTGAATCTAAGAAAAGACTGAATTATCTTATTTTTATTTACACAAGCAGGACTTAATGGTATCTGTCTTCTCAATTTGCTTTCAACCAGGTACACCTAACACCAAAATTTAGTGTCTCATTTACTCCCTCAGCCCCCAAAACTTACTCAGATGTAACATTCGAGAAAGCCCATGATATTATCTTCAAGAGGAAATAGAATGAGTTACTTTGCACCTAAGGATTCAGACTCTGCCTGGCCTCTGAAATGTAGTTGGGACCTTCACAATAGGAGAAACAAGATTTGTCTTCTGAATTCTAACAAGTGGTTGAATTTCAGAATCGTTAATGCTGATCCTCTCAAGGAACACACTACCTGTTTTACACAGGTGATGCCGCAGGTCAAGCAGCGAGTTAGTTGTTTGGCTTAGCTAATGGTGGTGTCAAATGGCACTTAAAGCTCTGAGGCTTAAAATTTGCTGGGAGAAACTGATGGTTAAATCAGATGGTGGGCCAACACAGGAGGCACTGCTATCTTTTATTATAATTCTTTTCTAAAAAAAAAAATCCATCTGCTATTTTTAATCTTAATACTGATGTTGCAGTTTTGCCTAACCTAACTCCTACAGTGAGGATGTACACAGCGTTACATACACAAATTACGGGGGCTTGTTCACACAGGAATTTACATGATGATGGAAACTCATCACTCTTCTACCTACCCACCAGTGGCTCAGTGTAGCAGCACCAAGAAAGCCATGCTCCTGTGCACTACTCGGTGGGTGACGTGCAGAGGTGTCTGTGCTGATGTGGGGGAACACCTGCCCCTGGGCAGGGGTGCAGCTGGTGAGGTGGACCAGGGCCTGCTTTTCCTCAGGCACACAGCGAAGTCAGGAACTTTTCTGTGATCAGTGGTCACAAATGGATCTTCTCTGGAGTCTTAGCATTGCGTAGCTTTTCTAGGTGCCTGGACTTCTTCAGAGAGGTTTTTATTGGTTCCTGAAATCTTACTTTCCAGTATAAGATAAAGGACTCTTTAGAAGTGTTGGTACTGATTGACTGAAGCACATGAGCTAGATGCCTCTAGTTAAATGATTTACTTCTTTATACAGGAAATAAGGTATTAACAGAAGCTCTGATAAAACATACATTAAAAATATGGGGCATGACTTCCTTGATCTGATGCCTGAATAGTTTGACTATTCATCCCATTCATCTATTCTCTGATACATAATTCTTTACCTATTGGGTGTTATTTAAAATACCAACTGCCTATGAACTGTTCTTGCAGTTAAAAAGCAAGTATGGGGTAGCTTTTAAATATGCTTAGATAACCGTCTCCAGAAAATCTGTTGTGTCTTCAGGTTCTGATTGAACAGGTTTTGCAGGTAGCTGGGCTCTGCTGCATTACTCAAACTGTCTTAAGTGGAAAGGCCAGAGTATACTGCAGGAGGATGGAATCCAATCTAATGTTCATGTGGTCACCATACATGATTCTGTACGTTCCTCTGCAGCATTCCTCTGGCTGCTCATCTGGAAAATACCAGTGGCTCAAGAGTTGGAGCAAGGAATTAGTAGGAAGTATATGATTATTTAAAATCATGCCTAGCTGCTGGAAGAGAGCGTTTGTTGACTAAAC